TAGCTGTGTGACCCTGGGCAGGTCACTTAACCTTGTTTGCCTCAGTTCCTCATCTGTAAAACGAGCTGTAGAAGGAAATGGCAAACCACTCCAGGATCTTTGTCAAGAAAATCCCAGGGGCAGCTAGGTGGCACAGTGGATAGAGCACCGGCCCTTAAGTCAGGAGGACCTGAGTTCAAATTTGGCCTCAGACCAAACACTTGACACTTGCTAGCTGTGTGACCCTGGGCAAGTCACTTAACCCCAATTGCCTAAAAAAGAAAAAATCCCAAATGGGGTCACAGAGAGTCAGACAAAGACTGAAAAGCGACTAGACAACGACTTTGCATGAGCTTGGGCAAGTCACAGGAATCTTGATCTAGAAGCTGAAAGGGACCTCGGGGCCATCTGGCCCAACCCCTTAATTTTACAGCTGGGGAAACCGAGACCAGAGAGGTGAAGGGATTTGCCCACAATCCCATAGATAGATTTGAACTCAAGACCTCTGTCTACAGAGCCGGTGCTTTTCAACTATACCACTTTCTTACCTAATTGGGAAGGACCTTAAAGGTAATCTAGTCCAATGCCCTCATTTTATAAAGAAGGAATATGAGGCCTAGAGAGGCCAAGGGCGTGAGATCAAATCCCACTTGTGATGCTTAATCTCACTGGCTTCACTGGGCTCCAGTTTCCTCCCTGTAGAATGAGGGATTGAACAAGATGATGTCTGCAGTCCCTTTCAGCTCTAGACAGAGGATTCTGTGACTGTCTGAAGTTCTCTGACTTTGATGATGATTTGGGGCCTTCCTCCTTCCTCCTATAGAACATCCTTACCACCAGGTGCCTAGACAGGTCATCCCACCCACCGCTTCTGCGGTCCCATTCAACAGACCCGTCAATATCTTTGCCCTTCCAGTCCCTCAGCCTCATCCCTGTCCTGATGTCCCCTGGTTAATAAGCAACTCGCAGAGCTGCCTGGGTGTGTAAGAAGTTACGGCAGTCACCGGCCCAAGGGGCAGCAAATGACTGGGGCCCTTCTGAATGCCAGTGAGAAGCCCCCCTGGATCCAATCGTCCTGTTAATCTCTGCTGTCTGATCCTTGGTGGCAAGACCACATCACTGGCTGGAGAAGGAGGCTGGGAGGTAGAACTCACCACATTACATGGGATGGTGGGAAGAAGGCCTCCCATGCAATAAGCAGATCCACTGGGAGACTTAGGAAATGATGGGGACAAGAATCCACATGAGATGAAGAAAGCTGGGGGAAGGAATGTCCCCAACAAGGAGATCATGGGTCCATCAAAATAGGGAAGCATGAACTCATCATTGCTGAAGCCTAGAGACCTTCAATGTAGTAGAAACCATAAGGGGCATCCAAACACCTGCGTTCAGATTTTAACTGACAGTACTAGTTGCGTCAACAAGCATTTATCAAGCTCCTACTGCGTACCAGACATTGTGCTAAATGTGCTAAAAAAAAAAAAGACAAAAACAATCCCTTCTCTCCAGAAGCTCACAGTCTAGTGGGGGAGATAATATGCAAACGACCATGTACCAAGGAGATATTTTCAGGATAAATTGGAAATAATATCAGAGGGAGGGAAGGCACCAATGTCAAGGAGGACCAGGAAAGGTCTGCTGCATGAGGTGGGATTATAGCTGAGGCTTCAAGAAAGCCCAGGAAGCCAGGAGGCAGAGACAAAGAAAGGGAGAAACACCCAGGCATAGGGCACAGCCAGGGGAAAGGCAGGGTGTTGGGAACTGGACAAAAACGAAACTGAGGCCTTTGCAGTGGGTTTGTAGGTAACAGGGATCCTCTGGAGTTGATTGAATAGGGGGTGACCCACGATCTCCGAAGATCACTTTGACAACTGAGTGGAAGAGAGACCAGAGTGGGGAAGGACCTGAAGCAAGCAGGCCAATCAGGAGATTATTGCAGTAGTCCAGGGGTGAGGATGAGGGCTTGCATTAGGAGGGGTGACATGGTTGGAGGAGAAAAGAGGGGAATGAGGAGATAGAGGAGAGATGTTGTGAAGGCAGGAAGAGCAGGGTTTAACCACAGACTGGACGTGAGAGGTAAAGAGAGCATGAATAATGGAGGATGATCCCAAGGACAGCAAGCTTGGGTGACTGGGAGGATGGTGGTTCCCTGGACATGGGGGATGGGGAAGTAGGAAGAAGGGATGGTCTGGGCAGGGGGTGGGGTGGGGAGATGATGAGTTCAGTTTGGTAAGTGCTGAGTTCAAGTCTTCTAGGAGACATCCAGTTCCAGATGTCCAGGAGATAGCTGGAGACTTGATTCTAGAACTCAGGAGAAAAGTTGGGGTTAAATAAATAGATTTCAAAATCATCAGTTTAGACATTATCATTGAAACTTATGAGAACTTGGTGGCTCTGGGCAAGTCAAGCAGTCAGGGCAAAGAGTGCTAGACTTGGAATCAGGAAGACCTGAGTTCAAATCCAGCCATAGAGACTTCTTAGCTATGTGACCCTGGTTAAGTCACTTAACAGCTGTCTGCCTCAGTTTCCTCAATTGTAAAATGAGGATGATAATCAGCACCTACCTTCTAGGGTTGTTGTGAGGATCAAGTGAAATAATATTTGGAAAGTACTTTGCAAAAGTTAAGGAGCTATGTACACGCTAGTTCATTTGAGCCCCACAATAACATTGTGAGGTTAGGATACTACTATAGGAGGATACTACTATAGTATTCCCATACTATAGGATAGTAATATGCTCATTTTACAGATGAGGAAACTGAGGCTCGGGTGGATGAAACGACTTGCCCGTGGTCACACACATAGCAAGCTTGTAAGGCAGGATTTCAAGCAGATATTCCTAGCTCCCCAGTCCAGCTCTCTATATACATCACACTGTTTTTTCTTTTCTTTTTTTTCTTTTTAGAGGCAATCAGGGTTAAGTGACTTTCCCAGGGAGACGCAGCTGGGAAGTGTCTGAGGTTGGATTTGAACTCAGGCCCTCTTGACTCCAGGGCTGGTGCTCTATCCACTTCACTACCTAGCTGCCCTTCTCCCCCACCCCCCATTACATTGCTTTCGATGGAGTTAAGCTTCTCCTATCTCTGTTGCTTGAAACCCAATCTAAAGATCAACTTCTTTTTCCTTTCTCCCTTCTTCATTTCTGTTTGATGGCTAAGTGCTATGGAGTTAGGTAGCCTAGAAATATCATAGCAGAGGGCAGGCAACCTGACTTGTGGTCTGAACCCACCTCTCCCAGGATACTCTCTTGGAGCCTAAGGTGGCCATTGTCAAGCCCTTAATCACCTTCAGATCTTCTCTGGGGAGCTGTTTCCAAAGGTGCCTTTCAGAGGCTGCCCTGGGCCATTCCGAAGTGTACAATATCTCTCACTTAATCCGTATCCCAGTGGCACACCAATTGAAGCCATAACTAGGGTGGAGTTAGCAATGCTTTGCCCAAAGGGCACTTACAGCATTTCCAGCCCTGCAGCAATATGAAACAACTGAACTTAGCACCTACTTTATGAGAATAATTAGTGAAGAACATTTTGAAAGACTTAAGATCTCTGATCAATAAGGTAAGACCAGCCAGGATTCCAGAGGACCTACTTCCTGCCAGAAAGATAGAGACTCAATATGCAGAATGAGACACACACTTCTGGACATGGACAATGCTAGAATTTGGTTTATTTGATTATTCATCATTATTACAAGGGTTCCTCTGCCCCAGTGAAGGGTAGGGAGTGGGAGGGAGGGAAAATAAATCCTTGTATTTGAAAAACATAAAATTTAATTTAGAAAAAATGCTTAAGTGAAAGAGAGAATAAAAGTAATTAACTGGAAAAAAAGAATAATTAGTTAAAATAGGAAACTATCAAGGCTATACTTCCTCCTCTCCCCAAGGCATCCCCTGAATCCCCTTTTGTTCTCCCTTTTTTTACTTGGTGACCTCATCAGTTCCCACGGATCCAACCATCACCTCTACATTGTTTGTTGTTGTCCTTTGGTCTCAGATCTATTTATCCAGACTTCACGGAGCAGTGGATAGGATTTGGAATCAAGAAGACTCATCTTCATAAGCTCAAATCCGTCCTCAGAAACTTACTAGCTGTGTGACCCTGGGCAAATCATTTAACCCTGTTTGCCTCAGTTTCCTCATCTGTAAAATGAGCTGGAGAAGGAAATATCAAACTACTCCAGTATCTTTGCTAAGAAAACTCCAAATGGGTTCACAACTAAACAACAAAATCTTTTTCTCAGACTCCAGTCATGGATCAGCAACTGCCTCTTGGACACCTTGAACTGGATGTCCCACAGACATCTTAAACTCTTCGTGTTTAAAACAGAACTCATTGTGTTTCTCCCTACATCCTCCCCTCTTCCCAATTACCCTGTTGCTATTGAAGGCACCTCCATCCTCCTCGCCCCCAGGCTCACAACCTTGGTGTGGTGCTTAACTCAGCACACTCTCTCATCCCATACCCCCCACCCCATATCCAATCTGTTGCCAGGTTCTATTGCTTCTATCTTTCACATCTCTCCTTGCCCTCAAGGAGCTTGTGGTCTAATAGGATTGAATAATATACCAACTCAAGACAACTGTAATATACGTTATGTCTTTCCATGGATCAACATAGATCACATTAAAAGGTCATTTTAATAGACTTTTATTAATGTTTTGCTTTCACATTGCCTAGACACCCCCCCAAAACCCTCTTCCCTCTCCTACATCCCTTATGAAAAAGAGAAAGAGAAAAATCAATAAAATTAGTTAATGCTTTGAAAAAATTTGGCATTCTATGTGATGTTCTATAAAGCAATGAAGGGAAGCATCCATATATCTCTTCTTTGGGGGACAAACTTATCCTTTGTAATTTTGCAACATTCATTTTAGGTTGTTTTGTGATTGGTCTTCCCATGTACACTGTTGTCATGACTGTGTCTATCATTCTTCCAGCTCTGCTTCCTTGACTTTGTATCAACCAGTTCATTTAAGTCTTTTCCCATTTCTCTGCATTCATCATGTTCATCATTTCTTACAGCACAGGAATATTCCAAAGTCATTCCTCAGTCAATGGACATCTACTTCATTTCCAGATCTTGGCTACCACAAGAAAAAAATGCTACTATGAACATTTTGGTGGATATGGAACTTTTCTTTTCACCAATGTCCTCCTTGGAGTTTTTATGCAGGTCATTTTAATAGATTTTCTGATTCTATCACCTTGCTGTCCCACAGTATATGGCTTTAGGCAAATCATTTCACACACAGCCCCCCCCCCCGTGTCCTCAATCTATAAATAGCAGGGGTTGGACTAGATGTCCTTTAAGTTCCTTTCCAGCTCTAGATCAAGAATCTAGGTGGCTTCAATCTGCGTTCAGACTCCACAGTTCTTTCTCTGCATGTGGATAGCATTTTCCCTCATGAGACCTTTGGAGATGTCTTAGATCCTTGTATTGCTGAGAAGGGTTAAGTTTATCAATATTAGTCATCGAACAATGTGGCTACTATTATGTACAACGGTCACTTGGTTCTTCTCATTTCACTCAGCATCAGACCATACAAGTCTTTCCAGGTTTTTCTGAAGTCAGCCTGCTCATCGTTTCTTATAGCACAATGGTATTCCATTACATTCATATACCACAACTTGATCAGCCATTCCCAATGGATGGGCATCCTCTCAATTTCCAGTTCTTTGCCACCACAAAAAGAGCTGCTATAAATATTTTTGTACATGTGGGTCCTTTTCCCATTTGTATGATCTCTTTGGGATATAGCCCTAGAAGTGATATTGCTAGATCAAAGGGTATGCACATTTTTACAGCCCTTTGGGCATCAATTATCGTCTTCTGCAAGTGGGCTTTCCTGCTCCCCCAGCTGCCAGTGTCTTCACTTCCAAACTTACCTGGCATCTGCTTAGTATGATGGGTTTGGGGTATATTTACATAGATAGATAGATAGACAGACAGACAGACAGACAGACAGACAGACAGACAGATAGATAGATGGATAGATAGATATACATACATATATATACACACAATATATAATGTACATATATGTAACATATAGTATATAATATACATATATTTATAATTGTGTAATGTGTTATTACATTGTACATTTATAATATACATATATTTATGATACATTTATACATATATGTGTATGTATATATCTATATAGTATATAATATATACACATATTTACAATATTTATATATATATACATGTGTATATAATATACCCACATATTATCTATTATGTATGCATGTCATCTCCATCAGCATGTAAGCTCCTTGAGGGGAAGGATCATTTTGGTTTTCCTTTGCATCCCCAGCTCCAAACACAGCGCCTGCATGCAGTAGGTGCCTACTCAGTGCTCACTTCTCAGACAAGCCAGATGTTTTGAAAGTAATATGTGGAATATAGGACAGCTAGATTGTTCAATGGACTGGAGTTAGGATGACCTGAGTTCAAATCTGGCCTCAGATACTTAGCTGTGTGACCCTGGGTAAGTCACTTAACTTGGTTTGCCTCAGTTTCCTCATCTGTAAAATGAGCTGGAGAAGAAAATGGCAATCTCTGCCATGAAAACCAAATGGGATCAGGACAAGTTGGATATGACTGAACAACAACAATGTGGAATTCATTATATACTTTCAAAAAATCACCCAACATGAAATAGAGACTCAGTTTCATATAAAATGCTCTTTTCGTGTCCACTGGGTGTATGGACGTGCTTTTTGGGGCTGGTTAAGTTCAGAATTTAAAAGAAGTTTAAACTAAAAAAGAAATCAACAAATGCTTGCTTGCTATGTATATACTTTAAAGTAAATGGGTGTAAAATAAATGCAAAAGTTAATGGGTGGGCGGGGAGGGACACTAGCAGGCAGCTGGGGAAGGCCTTCACTCCTTTTGAATCCCAATTATTTTTCCCTTTCAGACCTCTCCAAGTCTCTCCCCTTCTCCTTTCTCTCATCCTATAAATAAGCCCTCCCGAAATGGCTCCCAGGCTCCCTCTGTTCCAGCTCCCCGGTACTTCCTCTGGCAAACTTCTTTTGGTCTCAAAGACCATAACGCAGGAACCCTAGCACCCAACCTAGAGAAAAATCACTCAACCACTGTATTCACCACCAGAACTGTCCTCCTTCCTGCTGTTCCTCCAAGCCCCTCCTCTCCTGCCCTAGCTCCCATTTCTCCCTGGAAGGGGTGACATTTGTTCATGACAAGTCCTGGCCCTCCCTCTGAATTATGTGCTTACTTGATACCATGGGGCTCTTAGCTTGTCCTCACTCAGTTATCACCTAGCCTAAGATAGACTTTCAGCTTCTCTAATCTTTCCCCATAACCCAACCTAGTCCCCACCCCATCCTCTCCCCTTAGCTCCTTAATCAAATTAAGAGAATGAAGAGGATTTAGATACAGTCACTAAATATGTTTCTGGACAGGCAAGCTAGAAGGGAAGGGGAGGAATAGGAAAGGGGATGAGATTCCTGGTTGGAATGTGGTCTCTAAAGAGCCTTCTTCCTATAGAAACAGCCCTTTGAAGCCCCTAAAATAATTCATACTTGGAGAGGGCCTCAGCTGTCTCAGAAAACTCTTCATAGACATTATCTCATTAGCTAAGGAGCCCGGGGGCAGAGTACCCACTCCCCACAAAAACCCAGCCAGTCCACATGCATGCATTGGTGAGCCACCCCTACTGAGCTTCCCACACTTCCCAGGACTCGGGGATGGGCTCAGTACAATTGGAGGGGGCCAGTCATGCCTCTGCGAGTGAACCTGGGCTGGGGTGTGTTTGGCACAATTTCCCTGTTTCATGTTCACATAGATGTTTTAAGGGAAGTTATTACTGAGAGGAATTGTCTCTGCCATGCCTTCAGGCATCTTTCTTATTACAGTCAGTGAAGAGCAAGTTCAGGCTCAGCTTTTGAAGGAAGCTTCCATCTTATAATTCAAGCCACTGAGGCACAGAGATAGGGAACCTGAGCTGGGTCCATGGGGTCCTTCAGGACCAGACATGAACTTGAACCTCAGAGCCATCTCCCTTCACAGACCAGGAGCTCATGCCCTGGCACAGGAGCTCTTAACCTGGGGTTCAGGGACTAACTTCAGGGGTCCTTGAACTTGGAAGGAAAAAATAGTGACTTACTTGTTGTTGTTCAGTTGTATCGGACTGTGACCCCATTTTGGGGTTTTCTTGGCAAAGATATTGGAGTGATTTGCCATTTCTTCTCATTTTACAGATAAGGAGACTGAGGTTTAACGCCCAGGATCACACAGTAAATGTCTGAGGCCAAATTTGAACTCAGGCCTTCCTAACTCCGGGCCCTCCATTCTATCCCCTGAGCCACCCAGCTGCCCAATAACATCTTTATTTCACCATAATTGGTTTCCTTTGTCATTCTATATATTTTATTTTGTGCATTTAAAAATATGATTCTGAGGAGGGCTCCGTACATTTCACCAGACTGCCCAAGGGGTCCTTAACAAGAAAAAGATTAAGAACCCCTGCCCAAATGTTTCCCTTGGAGAAGTCTAGCCTTTGTGTAATCAAAACTGCCTAATAAATGCTTGTTGACTGAATGGGGTGTGCTGTTTATTGAGTTATTATATGAGAAAAAAGAATGTAACTCCCCTGGGAAGGAATAGCAGAGTGGATGGGCCTTCTGGCAAAGGGCAGCTATTTCCTGAATAACATTGTGATTTTTTTCCTTGAGTTTCGAGGCTCCGTGTTTGGGTTGCTTTACTCCAGGGACACCAGAAAGCCTAAAGCTGTCTCCGAGCCCCAGAAACTTCAGGGAAGCCACCTGATCTGGCTGGAGTTGGGGACCAAGGTTTGGCAGAATGAAGAGAGGAAAGGGGGCCAGAGTCCTTCACTATGCCTCAACTTGGACTTGGGGCCTGAGGCAGGAGATGGAGCCCCAACCTGAGCTCCAAGTACAAATCCTTTTCATTGTCATCTTAGCTCCTGGTAGGGGCCAAAGAGAGACCTGGGAGGGAAATACCAAGATGGATTCAGAGCAGTCCATGGAAACTTTATGTCCTGGATAGTGTCAACACTGAAGTCACTGAGAAATTAAAACAGGACCATGAAGTGCTTACACCCTATCTCCCAGGGTTGTTGTGGGCAAAGAGCCTCTCATACCTTATAGGGTCATTGCAAGGCAAGTGGTGGTGGCTATTATGTTCACTGTGTATAATTAATAGATTATATTAAAAGGATGAGGCATGGCTCCTGCCTCCTGGAAGAGTTTGAAATCAAATTGGAGAGACTCTTCTGGTATCCCAGCCTGGTAACCCCAGTGATAGTCTCTCTACTTGTCATTCTCCTTCACCTCACACATCCAGTTCATCGCTGGCTAGTGTTGTTTCTACTCCATAACATTTCTCCTATAGATCCCTTCTCACCACTCATGTGGCCATCACCCTGGTTGAGCCTTCATTGCCTCCCAGCTGGAATAGTGCAATGGCCTCCTGGTTGGCCTCCCTGCCTCAAGTCTCTCTCTACTCCAATCCATCCTACAAGTCAACAAGCACATTCTAGGTACCTGGTCCCATGTTAAATGCTGGGGATACAAAAATGGGCATGCACATATACACATATGCACGCACACACACACAACATGCCCACACATACACGTGCACACACACAGCTGCCAAAATGACTTTCCTCATTTGCTGATCTGGCCATGTCACTCCCCAGCTCAATAAATTCCAATGGCTACCTACTGCCTTGAGGAAAAAATATAAACCCTCCTGTTTGGTCCTTTACAATTTTGCCCTTTATCTCTTGGCCTTGACCTCTATTTCCTGCCTCATTCTACAATATTCCCCTTCCTGCATGCTGCAGCAGTACTTTCTGTTCTTCACACAATACTCCACTTCTCATCTCCGTGTCTTTGCACTGGCCATTCTCCCATGCCTGGAAGGCATTCCCTCCTTGCTTCTACTTAAGAGAATCACTTCCTTGGAGAAGCAGCTAACTTATTATCTTCTCTATGAAGCCTTTCCTGATTCCCCAGATGCAAACGCCCTCCCTCCATAACTACCTGATGTTTCACCAGTCTTGTATTTATTTTGTATTTGTCCTATATGTTCGTCAATACGTATGTGTTATCATCCTTTAATAGAATGCAAGCTCCTCAAGAAACAACAATGAATGATATACTTATTTTAATATGTTGGTGGATATGTAATCTCACTGATGTAGACTGTGCTTTCACTGGGACAGATCACAACTCATCCACACTTGTTCATTCCTATCTGGGCCCTCCCGTCCTTCCCCCACAGAGAACCTCACCATAGTGTTGGAGGCCTCCATGTAAGTCTCCCCATATTTTGTGGGTCCTGGGGCAGCACTGAGGCCATGCATCTGTTAGCCTTCAATCTTGCCACTTGCCTGGCCCCGCTCCTTCTGCAATCAGACATTTCCTTAATGAGATCTTTTAGGTCACTAATTGTGTTCAAGTTATTATTGGAAATACAGCCTGTTCACACCCATCATGTGTCTCTCCATTGCCCTTTGGGTGATCTGAGGCTCAGATTCTTCAGAGATCATGGTGTTCCAAGGGTGTCCTATAGGAGAAAGGGGTATCTAATTAAGGCCTAAATTGCGCAGCACAGACTTCACGTGTGGTAGGCAAAAAAGAGAGCTATTGGGGTAAGTATAGGAAATAGAATACCAGCCCTGGAGTCAGGAGAACCTAAGTCCAAATCTGATCTTACTAGTTGTATGATCCTGAGCAAGTCACTTAACCCTGATAGCCAGAGAGACAGAGAGAGAGAGAGAGAGGGAGAGAGAGAGAGAGAGAGTTATTCCTACAGATGGCTTCATAGAGGAAGCAGGATCTGAGCTGGTTCTTAGCTGATAGATGGATAGTTGGATGGTTGGATGGATGGATGGATGGATGGATGCATGTGTGAAAAAGCACTTACTATGTGCAAAACATCAGTGATACAAATAGAAAGACAAGACAGTCCCTAACTTTAAGGAGCTCACTTTCTAAAGGGGAAAGACAACAGAATGTGTGTAGGAGAGGGAATTCTTAGAGGATAGAGCAGTAGAGCAAAGACCCTTCAGCAGAAGTCAGCCTGGTATGGTGCCAGGAATGGTACAGTAAATGTTCTCCCTCTGCAGTTCCTGACTATTAGAATCCTTAGCCTCCTTCCACACTCAGTCAAAACAAGTCAACAAATATGTACTGAGTGCCTAGTATGTGCCGGGCACTGTGCTAAGCACGGAGGATACAAAGGAAGACAAAGGACAGTCCCCCTTCTTGAGGAGCCCATCTTCTAATGGGAGAGACAACAGGCAAACAGCTGTGTGCATACAAGATGCTTACCAGTCTTGTCTCAAACACCTGCCTCTGCCTTTCTCCGTCCCCCCAGCTCCTACTGCCGTCCTCTCTAAGGTTACCTTGTATCTCTTCTGTATGCATCTTATATGTTGTTAACATTGTCTCCACCATTAAATCAAATGAGCCCTGAAGGTAGGAACAGTTTTTGCCTTTCTTTGTATCCCCAGTGCTTAGCATGATCCTTGATACATAGTAAATATTTAATAAAAGCTTGTTGATTGATTGATTGATTGATTGATTGAAGAAGAATTTAAAGGAGTAGAATTTGTATGGACAGCTGAGTCACATGCCACAAGCATGGCAGAAGTAGCAAACAGAGAAGCCCACTGGAATTGCCCAGAAGGTCCCTACAGTAAGAACGCAGGATTTAAAATCAGAAGACTTGGGGTAATATCCCAGCTCTGCTACTTATTACCCTGGTGACCTGAGGCCTTAATTGCTTCATCAGTGACATGAATTCTTTCTCTGATGCCTCCATTTGCACCAGCAGGTCGGGTTTTCCAGAGTGTGGCTGCTACTTATTCCATTAGGGTTTGGGTTTTTTTTTTCTTTCTAATGCTATAGTTTGATACCCCCACCCATCAGTGTGTTGTTCCTATGATTACTGATTGATATTAATTAGCCATCAAGACAATTCATTTTAAAGCCTGGAAAGACTTACACGAACTGATGCAAAGTGAAGTGAGCAGAACCAAAAGGACATTGCACACAGTAACAGCAACATTGTGTGACGATCAACCATGATTGGCTTAGCTCTTCTCAGCAATACAATGATTCAAGATAATTCCAAAAGATTCATGATGGAAAATGCCATCCACAACCAGAGAAAGAATTGATGGAGTTGGAATGCAAATTCAAGCATGCTATTTTCACTTTCTTTATTTTTTCATAGTTTTTTTTTCTTTTGCTCTGTTTCTTCTTATATGACATGACTAATATGGAAATGTTTTACATAGTTGCACATATATAGCCTATATCAAATTGCTTACCATCTTAGGGAAGACAGGGGGAAGGAGAGAGAGAAAATTTGGAGCTCGAAATTTTATTAAAAAATGAATGTTAAAAAAAGACAATTCATTTTTAGAAAGAGGTCTTTACCAGAATAGCATAGTAAGAACATCCGGTACAAAGCATCCCCTCCAAAGTATGTGACACTGTGCCCAGCACCTCCAGTCCAGAGTAAGGTGGGCCAGGCCTCAGACAGCACATGCAACCAAGAATGTAACTCATAGCCCGTGATTGCTGGAAGTCCTTTTCTCCCCATTTGTGGAGAACTCATTAATTTCCCCTTAGGCATGGTGTAACTTTCTGTTAGATTCCTTGTAGATACCTGAAGCTGCCCTGCCTTGGTGTGTCTACTTTGACCAATGCAGATATGATGTCAAATGTCCCGGGACATAACAAGGACTGAGATGTTCAAAATATTCCCACCCTCTAAAATTCACAAGGGCCTCTTCTGATCAAAGTGAGTATAGGAGGGAGGTTACCTGAAGCTAGGACTCTTCACTTCCTGTCTCTCCTCCAACTCCCATGTGACAGTTCCTTCTCAGAGACATAGCTGGAATGGTTCCTTGTCCTCTCCCTTACCAGACACTTGCATGATCATTCCAAATTAGCTCAGTGGTTTTATGCAAATCCCACAGAGCATGACCAATGCAAACTGACTTCCTGTCTCCTGTCACACCTCTTGAAATACATTTAGTTGAAATGCCTTTGAATGGTTGATCCAACAGATATCTTTCAACCTACACAAATTTTCCTCTATTAAAGGTCTCAGGGCTTAGTAGGAGTGGAGCAGCTAAGTGGCGCCATAGTGGATAGAGAATACTGAACTTACACTGAACTTAGGATCAGGAAGACATCTTCATGAGTTCAAATCTGGCCTCAGACACTTACCCTGTTTACACAAAT